GAAGAAGAGCTGTGGGGACAGAGCAGGGGACCCGTGGGGTGCAGCCACAGCCCCCGGCCCCCCACCATGGCACGGCTGCCGCCAGCACTTACGTCAGTGATGACTTTGAGCTTGCGGATGTAGGTGGCCTCGGTGTGCAGCAGCTCCCAGATGGCTTCCTGCTGGTGGCACTGCCGGCGCGAGAGGGCCTGCCAGGCTGAGTGTCAGCACCATGCCGTTGGCTGGGCAGAGCCACCGCGGCCCCCCCAGCCCTCCTGGCCCTACCTCTGCACCCCGGATGATCTGCTGCCAGCTGTCCTCCAACGCCAGCCCAGCCTCGTCCCCGTCCTCCTCCCAGGAGTCACGGTCGAAGCGGAGCTGCGGCGGCAGCTTGGGCAGCCCAAAGGTGCTGTAGGCATGCAGCCGGCTCACCAGCTGCTCCAGCTTCTCTGTCTCCTGGCCAAAAGCAGGGGGCAGAGGGGCTGGGTGGGGGGCCGGCAGGGACGTGCCACAGACCTCCTCACCCTGCCCATGGAGCTGGGGGAGCTCGAGCCCCAAGGGGACCCATCCCAGCACCCCAGCATTGCAGTGGGCAGCTCCCGTGCCCCCTCCCCGTGCCTGCGTCCCACCTACCCTGCCATTGGCAGGCAGGGAGCTGCCGCCGTGGGGGGCTGGCTCGGGGCTGGGAATGCTGGCGTCCCCCAGGAACTCCGTCATGTTCTTCCTCCGCCGGCCCGGAGCCTGCGGCGGGGACAGCCGGTGCCCCCCAGGTCAGTGCATGGCACTGTGCGCCTGGGCCACCAGCATGGGGACAGCGGCACAGCACAGCACGATGCTACAGCAGGGCTGACCTCGAGCACCCATGGGACAGACAGGCACCCAGACGGCACCCCCGGGCAGCGGGGTCCCCCCAGCCATGCTCCCCTGCCCGCACTGACCTGCCTACCTGCATCCCGAGGGCACAAAGCCCTGGGTGCTGCCTGGCCAAGCCCAGCCAGTCACAGGCAAGTGGCCCCAGCAGCGTGGGGGCTCAGGACATCCCACGGGGTGCAGCACCCTGGCCAAGCCGCCCGCCCAGCTGCGCTCCCAGCTCAGACGGCAGAGCTGGAGCCGGGCAGGCAGTGGCCGGGCTCCTCCGAAACAAAAGGAGGTGGGGCCAGCGCCGAAAACCTAATTTCCCCCCTCGCCAGATAAGCTAACCAGAGCCGAACAATTCACCGGCAGAGATCAAAGCCCCCCCCAGCTGGCCGCAAGGGCTGGGTCACGGCCAAGTGGCTCCCGCCGACCTGGGCACTGCTGCACCGGCTGCTTCCCCACATATCCCTGGGCTGTGCTGGGGGACAGCAGGGAGGGCTCCCTGCTTGCCACCGAGCCATGGGACATGGCACGCTGCCACCACCGCCACTGGCACATCCCCATGCCCTGCCATGTCCCCGGCCCCAGGTGGGGAGAGCCACCGCAGGCACCGTCCCCATTACTCACCGTGCAGTTGCATTTCCAGGTGCCCCGGCTGCTGCCAGCCCCATCGCCCTGGCACGGCTCAGCTCCTGCCTGCCCCCAAGAAGGCAGTCGGGGCCGAGACCCCCGTGGGGGTGGTTGTGTGCCTGCTGCCCCCCCTGCCCTGCCGGGGCCACCCTGGTCCCGCAGCCAGGCATCATAGTGCTGGACGCGGGCGGCCACCAGCCCTGGCCACACAGCCAGCTTGCCACTTTCAAGGGCTGCCGGTGCGGGGCCAAGCACCGCGTCCCTCCACCAACACCCCTGGAGCCACTCCCCACGAGTGTAGCAGCCTGCTCCCATGGGGAGTGGCAGCCAGCCCAGCCCCACACCTTATCTCGTGCCAGGGTCCATGGGGCAGGACCAAGCTGTGCTCAGCTGTGCTCAGCAGCTGCCAGCCACCGTGGCGAGAGGAGGGCCGGTGACCAGGGCAAGCCCTGGGGCCGGGACGGCACCAAGCAGCTGCCACCGCTGGGGCCCCCAGGGCTGCTGTCTGCCTTTGCTCTGGTGCCAGCCTGTATGTGGCATGGCCGCCAGGCTGGTGCCACTGGCTGAGCTGCCATGCCTGGCACAGGGCACTGCCGATGCACCGCCACCACAGTGCAGCCAGCACGGCACAGCCAGGAGCCAACCTAGCTCTTGGAGACTCTGGAGGGGGTCTTCAGCCCACATCACACAAGGCCATCCCCGTCCAGGAGATGCCGTGCCACTGCCCCATGTCCCCATCTTCCCAGCAAGGATGGCTACAGGGGGATCCTGCAACCTGCCACCCCCTCCCCAATTCCCTCCCCCAGCGCTGGCACCAGCACTCACCTGGCTGTCAGCACCCTCCTGGCGGCCCGACACCGGCGCCGGCCCGAGGAGCATGGCAGTGCTGACGGGGTGCAGGATGGGCAGGCTGGCTGACCTGGCGTCCCACACTGCCTGCTCCACCTTCACCTCATCCCCAGGCTTGGCTGTGAGAGCATCGGGTGGTCAGAGTCCCCCAGGAGCCCTGGGGTGGCCAAGCCTCCCGCCGGGCCCCCGCCGTACCTTTCACCCGCAGGTAGTGCCCCCCGAAGCGGTATGCCTCGAACTGGAGGGAGAGCGGCGTGTGGGACTGGTCCAGGTAGATGTCCACCTTGCCCGGCTCGATTGCCTTCCTCTCGAAGACTGGCAGCAGCACCTCCCTGCAGGGACATGAGCTCCATGTCTGTCTGCGTGTCCATCCCTGCATCCATCCCTGCCTCTGCCCCTGGCAGACTCACCCCAGGGACTTCTTCTTCGCGGCCGGCACGATCTCCGCTTCAATGTCAACGCTGAGGTCGAACTTCAGGGTGAAGCACTCCTTGCTGGGGTCCTGGGGGGAGGCAGCAGCCGCTCACCCAGGGGTCCCTCCTGCCCGCTGGGGCCACACTGCCACCCCACAGAGCACCCTGGGGAGAGGAGCTGGTGCCTTACGTCCGTGTGCCTGCGCCGAGCCTTCTTCTTCGGCAGCTTCAGTGCCGAGCTCCTCCGCTCCCTGTGGACACAGGGCAGGCAGGGTGACGGGGATGCCGAGGTCTGGGGACATGCAGGGGACATGCAGGGCCGGGGGCTCACCCTCTGCTATCCACCGGTCCCTCCTCCTCCTCCTCCACATCAGAGGCAGGGCTGGTGCGTGGGGGGCATGAGCGCGTCGACATGTTGCGGGCCAGGATGGAGCCTGCAAACAGGCATTGAGCTGGGCTGTGCCAGGACCCCCAGCCCCGTGCCGGCTCTGGCTGCATCCCACTCCCGTCCCTGTGCTGCACCAGCCCCAGGTGCATCCTATTCCCATTGCTGCACCACGCTGGCCCCGAGTGCATCCCGCTGCCGCAGAGCCGCCGGGAGCAGCAGTGCCAGCCACATCCAGCCCAGCTCACCTTGCAGGGGCAGGTCGAAGCGAATGTGGCCGTCAAAGTGCATGGCACCATGGAGGAGGCCGTCGCAGAGCTCACACAGGCTGAGGGGGCTGCTGCGGTT